AGAGCTGAGCCCGGGAAGACTGGAGGGGTGGCGAGGAGAAGGTGTGTTGTGTAAGACCTGGTTGTATCTCTCATTCTCTTTGATGGTGGTGGTGGTTTGTATTAAATTTATGTTGTTATCCCCAAGTTGAGTCTGTCTTTTGCCCGTGACCATAACTGGTGAGTGAGCCCTCCCTGTCCTTTGTCTCGACCTCGACCCTCAAGCCCTTTTGGTTGTATTTTCTCCTCCCCATCCCTCAGGGGACGGGGTAGGGCTGAGCGAGCAGCTGCGTGGGGCTTTTGTTGCCAGCCGGGCAGGCTCAAACCACGCTACAGTCAAATATAGTAGAACTAGAAAATGCTTCATTGTCTTATAGGAAGGTCCAAATTTGTTTATATTAATTCAGGAGACCAAATGAACTCCTCAAGGTGTATATAAGTTCTGGGAATTTTTGTATCTTTAAAAAGCTGCCTGTAGACCTTTTTGTATTATTATCTAGTGGCTAGAGCACTTGTCTAAACAGTGGAAGTTTTGGATCAGGATATTTCTCCATTATGATAGATTTAAAACTGTAGATTCTTTGTCTATTGTAGTTTCTTCAGCCCAAAATTGCAGGCCGAAATTCTTGAGGTCTTTATCTTGGAGAAGAGAAGACTCTGGGGGGATCTTACAGCTGCCTTCCAATACCTGAAGGGAACCTACAGGAAAGCTGGTGAGGGACTTTTTACAAGAGCGTCCAGCGATAGGACAAGAGGAAATGGTTTTAAACTAAAGGAGAGTAGGTTTAGACTGGATCTTAGGAAGAAGTTCTTCAGTACGAGGGTGGTGAGACTCTGGAATAGATTGCCCAGAGAGGTTGTGGATGCCCCCTCCCTGGAGGTGTTCAAGGTCAGGTTAGATGAGGCCTTGAGCAACCTGGTCTAGTTGGATTAGCCCCTGCCCATGGATTAGATGATCTCTAGGGTCCCTTCCAACCTAAGCCATTCTATGATCTTTCCTCTGTTGTCACACTGATTTGTAAGAGTCGGGAGGAACCAGAAAATGAATAAATAAAAAGGAGAACCAGAGTCTTTAGCCAATGGTTATAGTGCTCACCTAGTAGCAGAAAACCTGTAGTTCCATGTATTGCTCCAGGATTAAGTCTTTTTATCCACTTGTTTATTCAAGCCTCAGTCTTCTTAGGACTGTCTACTTGGCTATGCATGGTGCCTAATGGAATCTGTCACTCCTGGTGTTAACTATCTTGTTTGTCTTGTGTGTTTTGAGACTCTGTATATATGTAGTATAAATAGGTGCACTGTATGTATACATATATATGCACACATGTGTGTTCATATATGCAGATACATATGCATGCACACATATGCTGTTGAATATAGTGTGGTCATTAAACAGTGCGTAACTGGACATAAGACTAGAATCGATAGTGAAGCTTCTGGTGGTTAGTGCCTGCCTGTTGTCTTTGCGAAGCAGCAATTAGAAAATGGGAATGTAAAACATGCAAGAGTATTTGGGAGACGGAAGAACGGAAGAGGTAATAGTAAGTATTTTTTCTGTTTGTATACATGTAGATACACTTAAACTGGAAGAGATGTAGCACATACCACAGATACGTTTTTTTAACAAGAAGTCCTAGACCATTGAGGCTCTGTGAATAGAGAACAATGACTCTTATCAAATTTAAGAAACTTAGTTTTTGTGAAGCCTGAGACATGGGCAGCTGTGGAAAGGAACATGGTCTTAGAAAATCAAACAAGCCCCAAACAAAATAACTCCAGGTAGTGTGTGCGCAAAGGAGAGGTTCATGGCTATGCTTTAGACAAAAAAAGAACAAAGTTCAGAGAGTTTCTATGACTGAAGCCATTACATGCTTTTTTTTTTTTTTTTACCACTCAGCATTGCTTAAGGCTATAGTTCCAAGAAATATGGTGAACCTCTGCAAAAGCTAATTGTTTCTAAAAGGACAGTTCCCATCTACTTACCAGCTGCTTTTCCCTGCTTTTCTCATTTACTTTGTCCTAGCCTCTGGTGTTTGTTGGTCCTTTCTATGATTCAATTAAATTTGGTAACAGTAGAAAAAAGAAATCCTTCTGCTGGGTTAGTGAGGTAAATCAGCTCACAAAAACATCTAGTAAGTGTTAGCACTACTGTTAATGCAAGAGGGTAGAGTCATGTAACCAGAACAAAGAGGGCTTGCTGTCATTTGGCATTAAGGAAATTTAAATTGGTCAGCTGTTTGTGGGACACAGCTGCAGTTTGTTTAGGTATTGCTGTATGATTTGAATATTTTCCTTCAACTTTATATTTTTTTACTAGTATTAACAGAAAGGTAATACTGAGTTGCTACAGGCTAAATTTGACAGCTCTTGTAAGTCTGACTTCAGCCTTGTCCCAGAAGTCTTCTGGGACAGAACTCAGTAATGACCAAACTAATTAAAGCACAGCATCTGAACCAAAAAACACGTAGGAGAATATCTTAATGTCTTTATATTTTTTTTCTTAAACATTTTCTTCCACTCAAAAAACCTAGAATTTTGGGTGTTCATGGAGCCTGTCTGTATCAGCTTGATGGCATCACAGAAATGCTCACTGCCATTGTGGGTTTTTTCTTAAACCTCTTTAACCTTCTTTGCAACTTATTGAATATTGGAGAGGAAGTTTTTATTCTGGAAATCCTTAAGTTATCATAGAGTTATTTTTCTCATATTTACTTGAGTAACTTTTGAAAAGCAGTTCTTCATGAATTTTCATTGAACTTGAGCATTCTACTTCTTACACTATTTGACCTCACTACAAGTTGCAGTAGGATTTTAAGGAAGGAGGTTGTATAACTATTCATATAGTTTCTCTCCCTCTGTGATTCCTCCACTGGTTTCATTATACATCACTAAATAAATTAATATATATTTCTTTTCTATTTATGCAAAGGTTACTGAGTATTACAATTTCCAGTTCTTAAGTCTTATAGCACTATTTGTCAAGTAGTACTGCTTCTAGACATCTGACAATGTGATGTATGCTGTTACCTGCTTTGCATCTCCTTGGGATATACTCTGGATTTCACTGCTACTAGAACTGTACGAGTTAAATTAAAATTATATTAAATAATGACTTTAACAATTTAAAGTAATATTTCTGTGTTGCTCTAGAACTTTTATTTACTACTGTATATTCTCTTACTGTGATTATCCTGGTATCAGTGAGCTAATGTAGTTCTGGTTTTAACTCTTAGCATTGAGTCTGAATTTAAACCTTAGGTCAGTATTCTATGGATGGCACAGTTCAGGTGAGGGAGTAGTCTTCACCCACTGTGATTCAGTCCGATTGATTTGCTTTTTGGAAGGTTTTAGCTTGGTGTTAAGCCTGTGTTTTCTTTTGTTTAGTTACATTGCACTGAGCCTAATGATAATTCGTGCTAGAGGAGAATTCTCTTGTGCATTTCTTATGCCTGCTCTCATCGAATACTTGCAAGCAATCATAGTCATAAATTTTTTAGGACAGAAGGGACTGTAATATTCCGTTTGGCTTCTTACATAATATAAGCTATAGATCTTTTTTGTATTAATTCTTGTCTGAAATCTGATAGTATTTCTTTATTTAGTTTTCAATTCTGAAAGCATTTCATATTTGGTGGCTGAAAAGATTTGAGGAAAGACTAAAAACTGAACTGCTAATTTTTGCACTTTCTAGTTTGTCAGTGGAAAGCTCAGAGAAGAAAGTCTTTGATACTATAAGTCTAAAACTGAATATTTTGCTCCTGGTAATCTTTTCCATTTCTTAACATTGTGTTTCTGTATACCAATCCCAAACTGCACTGGAACGCTAATTTGATATCCCCCCTGCCCCGCC